ACGGGCGAAGGTTGCATGCCCACGCATCTGGCAAATGTATACACCCCACGTGTTTATAGGTGTGTGTATGGGCACACACACACGGCCGTGTACTGTTGTTCTCTTTGGCTTTCCACTAAAATTGTATTGATGTATATAGTCTTGCTCAGGCCTCCCAAAAGAGAGGGATTAGTATCTCTTGAAATGCCCATGGGCCAAAGTAATCATTGGTGTATCTATCTGCCCTGGGGGGTGACATGAATCAGGACCAATGACTTCAGGGACAGTATTACAGCAATTGAGCCCAGTGATATTAAATGACCATTAAACTATTTATTAAGCCTCATGATAAATGGCATATTAAACCATGCAAAATGTCTTAAAAAGCTGACTTACCAGGAGATCTCGGTGAGTAGTTTTACATGGGGTGTAGCTCAGTGCAATGCATTTATTAATGATCTAAAGGAAAAGCTCAGCTCATTACTAGCAAGGTTTGCAGTTTGGAGCAGTAGCTGGCAGTGGTGAATAACGGCAAGGGAAGGGCAGTTCTACATTGTTTTATAAGCTGGAATGATTTAAATACCAAGTGCTTTTAATGTAACCAAATGCCAGCATATGCTTCTGGGAAGGGGAGATGTGCATAGCGCTTACAGGATGCGGGGCTGCCTCCTGGAAGGCATTGACTTGGGGAGGGGATGGAAAGTCTTGGTCAATAAACAGCGTATGACGGTTGTCCAATATAATTGTGCAGCTGAGAGAGCTAATGGGAGCCTTGGATATAAAACCAGGGGAAAATGGAGTAGAAGGGAGAAAGTGATATTACCACCATTTGCTGCAATAGCGTGCCCGTTGGTCAGAAATGATCCTGGGGTCTGAATAAAGGTGCAGTGCAGTACTTACTACTGGAATATCTACAAATAGTTTTTGAAAATTATCTGAGTTTAGGAAAAAAGCTTACTTACAAGAATAAGGTTGCTCAGAAATAAAGATGCTTCCTACTCACAGACTGTAAGCACCTATGCAGGGAAAAAATGACTGAAGGCAGAGGACTGGTGAAATGAGCAGGTAAAGACATAGTGAGATCCCGTGCCTGGAACTTCAAGCTGGTCATATTCAGGGTAACAACATGAAGCAACTTTTTATGGGGTAACAGCCCTGGCAATACTACATCTAATGATTTTGTGGCTTTTCCATCACTGCTGGATTTCTCTTGTAAGATCTACTCAGTTCAAGCAGAAGTTACGCAGGAATTACCAGGTGAAATGTTGTGCCCCGTGCTATGGTGCTGTCATACTCACTGATCGTAACGTTCCCTTCTGGAATTACAAATCTATGAACCTAAGAAATGCATGACTGAAGGGCAGCTGTGGTCCAGCTACTGCATTATTAAGTGCAGGAAGTGATCTGGGGCATATCCTGGGGAGAGAGACTGTGTTATGCCGGGTCGACGGGCAGAGGTGAGAACTGACCTTTGGCTTGTTCAGTGACAGGAATTGCAAATACGTGTTCTTTGCAAAAAGGCATCTTTTCCTGCCAGTCCTGGGAAGCCTTGCTTCTGCAAAGGTCTGCTGTAGACAGTACCTGACTTGCTCTGCACTAGGCTTTGAGAGGGGGCACAGAGCAGGGCAGGCGTTTTTGCAGGGGAGCATACATAGGGGTTGTAGTGGAGGAAGGCTATTTGGGTGGCGGCTGAGTGAGCCAGCATGTTTCTACCCTCTTCAAGCAACATTTCAGACCAGTATTACCCATATTTGAGACTGTGTCACCCCCTACTGGCAATGCTCCTCATAATGCAGCCCAGGATTCCATTTACCTTCTCAGCTACAAGGGCACCTTGCCATTGAACAGGCTTGTGTTCAACTTGGTGTCCACCAGGGCCTTTTCTGCCAACCTGCTTTCCAGTCAGTCAGCCCCCAGCATATACTGGTGCATGGGGATGTTCCTCCACTGGTGCAGGACTTTGTGCTTGCTTTTGTTGAGCTGCATGAGGTTCCTGTTGGCCCATTTCTCCAGTCTATCAAGGTCCCTCTGGATGGCAGCACAGACTTCTGGTGCATCAACCACTCCTCCCAGCTTTGTATGGTCTACAAACTTGCTTACCAGTTAGCTATCTTCAGTAGCCAAGCTGCTGCTGGATGTTCTGCCACGTGAAGAATCTATCAAGATTTTCATCAATGCAAGGAGGACATTGTGCCCAGGCAGCCTGACCTCCCCAGGGCTGTGAGCTGAGTGCCACATTTGGGACACCTGTAGACAGCAGGTTTGCTTAGACTGGTAAATGGCAATCTGTGGGCCAGGGAAACTGGTGTCTAGGAGAGGACTGATAGTTTCTGTGCTTCATTTTTGCCTGAGCTGTCAAAAATGGCTGTGTCTCCTTAACTGCCTTGCACCCCTCCCTAGTGCAAAGCTACACTAGAAGACCATCGCTTGATCTATCCCGCCTTTAGTCATTTCTACACCTGGTAGCCAATTCAGTACAAACATCAGCAGGTTAATGTGGAGTTATCTGATGCAGACACATATCATGTGGGCAACTGAGTCACGCAGAGATACTAGCTCAGACTCTAAGAGCAATTTATTGCTCTTAGCACAGTGATAAACCCAAGCTGATAATCTCTGCCTTTTAGCAATGCTAATGTACTCAGAGGTAGGGCTGCGCTGTTCTGGAGCCCGACTCGTCATCATTTGCTCTGACATTTCTGCTCTGTTCCTCATGGTGCGATGTAGATGCACTCTTAGATTCTTTTCAGATTCACTAAATCATGGCAGTTCCCAGGAACTGAATGGGAAGATGTGTTCTCAGCTCCCTGGAAAATTATGGCTGTTATATTGTCACATCAACAATCGGACAAGCATTTTTACGGGCAAATAATAACAGGTTAGGTGGGGAGATTGAAAGGTGTAACCAATAAAAAGAACAAAGCAACAGGGATGGAAAATTGTTGCAGTGCAAATTAATTGCAAAGCAGTTACAGATGTGAATCACAAGTCAAATAAGTCAGGTAGGCAAAAGATAGCTTGATAGAGAAGGAGTAAAATGCAAAGTAGAGGAACAAATGCATTTTCACCAGGAAGTTTTATAAGGAATTATTGCCCTGAGGTAAAGAATCTAAGGCTGGGAGAAATAGCCAATAAAGCAGAAAGAAAGTAGTTTATTTGAAGAGGTTAAGGTTTAGGAGCAACATCTGTGACGGTCCTCTAATATCAGCAGAGATCTGAGGGCCATTATTCTCCTGGGTAACCTTGAGACACCCCTGGGGCATCTCCAGCCTACAGAATGAGACCAGCAGTAGCCTGCCCTGCTCATGAAATGATTGTGGGTCCCTCTCCATAATTCAACAACATGGGACAGCTAGAAACTCAGAGGGAGAAAATGTGAACCTGAAGGCTGAATGAATTTGATGAATACTTAACTTGTGAAATGTACTGCCCTGGGCTGTCACGGTGCCCACCACATTGTGACAATTCACTGAAAAAATAGTCATAAGGAGAAAGGCTACCTTACATTGACAGGTTGACATTACAGTTGAGCCTGTCTGGCCTATTGAGCTGGTGTGGGCAGAATGTACCCTTTTTTTCAGCTCGTGGGCACATGGTGCAGCTATCATCTGTTCAGTGCAGGTAGCAGCTCCTGCAGCATTCACAGGTAACATTGCTGTCGCTGGGGCTACTTGACAAGTCTCACTATGGCTGTCAGATTAAGTTGGCATAACTTTTCCAAACATTATTAGTTAGAGAGAAACTTCCTTGGATGAATAGTTCAAGGAGGATGAGATTGGTAATTTTGTCTTCCTCAGTTTGTCTCTCAGCCGTGCCCAGCTCATGCATGGGTGCGTGGTAACAAGCTTGTTCTGGGGTCCCCCTGGGGGACTCATTGCTGAAAGTGGTTACAGCACACAGTTACGGAGGTTGTGTGTGCAGTATTTGTGTTTCCAGGGAAAGATAAGTTTGATGTCTTTCCCCCCTGGTGATTAATGCAGAAGATTGAAACCTTTCACATATACTGATGCCTGATCCAAAACCCACTCAGCCAGTGGCAATCTTCTGATGAAAAGCATCTTATGCAAGGTCCTTGAAAACCTGAAGATTTCCAATGTCTTAGGATCATAGAATGTTTTGGGTTGGAAGGGACCCCTACAGGTCATCTAGTCCAACTCCCCTGCAGTGAGCAGGGACACCGCTAACTAGATCAGGTTGCTCAGACTTGCAGACTTCATGTTGTCCTATACCAGATAAAGGTCCCTGGAGACTTTAGCCAACAACTCCACCACTTCATGTGCAAATGGCTGCCTTAAGTACAGAAGACCTCTCTGAAAAAGAAAAAGAAAATGCCCTATTTATACCTTTTTGTTTTGTTAACTTGTTCATGTAGCATGAGGAAAACCATGTTATCGGTCTGAAGGGGGCAAAATAGTTTATACTATTATTAACTTTACTGAATGAAAAATTCATAAGAATATGAGAATGACCAAACAAGGTCAGATCAAAAGTTTACCCAAGCTTGCATTTGGCACAGCCAATAAAGATTGCAGAGGGAAAATGTAGAACAAAAGAGCAAGCAGAAAGTATGACTGCCGGCAGTCTATGGCTTCCTCTTTTTTGGTGGTTTATTCTCTTACCTTCACAAACATAGATCATGGTGCTCACGTCAGTAGAATCATAACATCATAGAATCATAGAATGTTTTGGGTTGGAAGGGACCCCTAGAGGTCATCTAGCCCAACCCCCCTGCAGTGAGCAGGGACACTGCTAACCAGATCAGGTTGCTCAGAGCCCCATCCAACCTGGTCTTGAATGTTTCCAGGGATGGAGCCTCCACTACCTCTCTGGGCAACCTGTTCCAGTGTTTCACCACCCTCATTGTAAAGAATTCCTTCCTTATATCCAGTCTAAACCTACCCTGCTTCAGTTTAAAACTATTACCTCTTGTCCTGTCACAGCTGGCCCTGCTAAAAAGATTTTCCCCGTCTTTCCTCTAGGCCCCCTTTAGGTACTGAAAGGCCACAATCAGGTCTGCCTGCAGCCTTCTCTTCTGCAGGCTGAACAAGCCCAGCTCCCTCAGCCTGTCCTCATAGGAGAGGGGCTCCAGCCCTCAGATGATTTTAGTAGCCCTCCAGTACCCATACTCCAGATTTATATAAAAAAGTTGGACGCTCTCATCAGGCTGGGGTCAGTAATACAAGTCATGCCTAGGCAGACCTGTCACACTGATAAGAAGCCCTTCCTGCAGGAAGAGTCCAGACCTGGAGGTCTTAAGTGCTTCAATTTAGATACAGTTAAAGACTGGGTAGGATTGACTGGCTCTCTGGGAACTGAGATACAGATTTGACATTCTGTAAGAGTAAAGATAGTCCAGTTTCACTTACTAGGGATTAAATTTCACTGATAATAAACTTTAATAGTGAATTTCCTCAAATAGCTGTCAAAGATATGCATTGGTGTTTCAGTAAAAATCAGAAGCCTTGATGATATAACAAAGCTGATGCACTAAAGCAAATGAAATTTTCACCAGTGAATGCTTGAGGTTCAGCTAATCAGTTCTTTAAAGCCAAGAGCATTTATTCTTTTCATTACTGACTTTAGTCATATCATAACAGTAAATACAATAAAACTTGCTATAAATTGTGCTGGTCGTGTATGGTCAGATTATTTGTGGGAATGATTGCTACATGGACTAGAATTACATTACCTTAGGTTATTGGATTTATCATTTTGTTTAAATGCAAATGCTAAAATAAATGATAGCTTCTGCTTCAGGGCTGGGGATTAGTTATTCAAGATGATCTTACTATTAACTGTGCAGTGAAGATAAATCGGTTAAAGGAAAAACTTGACATCTTACCAATTTTTTCTATACAGAGGCTTTAGTGGAAAAAAATGCTTGTTGCAGCAGTTTCTTTGTAGTTCCTTAATCATGTGCTAAGTAAGTCTGTAGTGGGAGTTTAATACAGAATTTTAAAGTGCTTAGACCTAATGAAACCATACTGGACAGTGGCGCTGCGGCAGCAGCAGGACCGGGCATCTTACAGTAGGAACAGCCCAAACAAGTCACGTCAGCGTTCCTCTTTCCCAAAAACAAATTTACAAAAGCATTTATGGTGCCTGATGGCACTGAATTTGGCTGCTAGAGATTCACAAGAGAGGTAGGTAAGTGCTGTGGCCTCCCAGGGAGGGAGGAACTCACGGTTGTGCACCCGTCCCAGAGAACATTTTACAACTTTCTACAATTAATTTGAGAGAGCAAATTGGGCAGATCGGAAAATGGGACAGAGAAAAAAGAAATGAGGGGCAATTTAGAGAAGAAAAATGTGGCACAAAACTCAGATTCAATGGAACGACCAAGTGCATAAGGAGTAATAGGAAGGGGTGGGAATGAAAGGATGGGTGCTGTGGCAGGGAGTCATGGGATGAGAAGGCATTGCCTCCACCCTGCCTGAGGTGGTGTGCCGTGAATTTTCTGGTCTGTCTGGGCAGGTCATAACTGGGACACACTGATGGACTGGATAGAATTTGAGCACAGATAATAATAAAGGCTGTAGAGCAGGATTTATGAAGAAAATTTAAGCATGAAATGTGCACAGTTTGTCTCCATGACAGCCTGACATTAGGGCAGTGTAAATATAGATGAAGAGGAAGAGGCGTCATTTAATGAAATAGAAGGATGCTGTGAGCAAGGGCTTTCCTCAGTCCTTACTTCAAGGAGGTCTGCACATTTATGCAGGCAGAACTCAACCCCTTCTGCATGCTTGGCTGCCGCTGAGATCGGCCCCTGCAACTCCGCAGCCTGTGCCCTATCCCTCCTCCCTGGGGGGAAATCACTCTCAGTCACATCCAGGTAGGATGAAGAGGGAGTCCCTTCCTCTCCCGGGAGTCAGCAAAACCCCTTTCCCTTTTCTCCAGAGGCTCAGTATAAATCTCTTTAGTCAGTGTTATGCTGTACTCAACACCAGCTCCCCTAGAGCCTGTAGCTCAGGCTATGTTTGAGTTGTAGCTGTTGAGGGGGTTATCTTCATTTGCCTGAGTGCTCCAGTCAAACACTGCTCCTTGGAGCACATAAAGATCTGGGTATGTTTGGCCCTGAGCATCCACTTAGCCAGTGAAATGGGTCACAGAGTTACCAAACCTCAGGGAAAGCTTTGGAGAGCATCAGGTAGAAAGAAAAACTTGTCCACCAGAATAGGACCATCTTACAAGCAGGAGCTGTGCTCCTCTATGTCTGCAGCTCTTTTTCCAAACCTTGCTGTTTCTTTGCTCAAGGGTAGCAGCTGCCTGAAAGTTCCTACAGCTCAGAACAAGGCAACTGGTGTTCAGCTATCAGGAAAGCATCCAGAAGTAGTAATTTCCCATTATTTCTTAGATTGCATTTTAATTATTGACAGGCAGACAGCCAGCACTGGATGGTGATGACTGCCGAGAGCCGGAGTGCCCAACAGCATTCTGTAGTAGGGGGTTAAATCTTGCTAATGATCTGAGTTTCTGCCAAACTCACTGCCGCATATCACGAGTGACACTAACTAGACTGGGAGGCTATTTCAGTTAAGTGCTTGCACTTTATTAACATCAGCCATTTCATATACTGCTGCTCAAAATATACAGAAGAGAACAGAGGAAAAATAAGGATGAGTGAGTACCTCTGGATGGCTTTGCTGGGTAAAAAACTGGCTGGATGGCTGAGCCCAAAGAGATGTGGTGAATGGAGTTAAGTCTAGGTCGTGGCCAGTCACAAGTGGTGTTCTCCAGCGCTCAGTATTAGGGCCAGTTCTGTTTAGCATCAATGATCTGGACAAGGGGATGACACCAAGTTGGGCAGGAGTATTGATCTGCTTGAGAGTAGGAAGGCTCTACAGAGGGACCTGGTCAGGCTGGATCAATGGGCCAAGGCCAACAGTATTAGGTTCAGCAAGGCTCAGTGCCAGGTCCTGCACTTGGGTCACAACAACCCCATGCAACACTACAGGCCTGGGGAAGAGTGGCTGGAAAGCTGCCTGGTAGAAAAGGCCCTAGGGTGTTGGTTGACAGGCCAATATGAGCCAGCTTTGTGCCCAGGTGGCCGAGAGGGCCAATAGCATCCTGGCCTGTATCCGGAATAGTGTGGCCAGCAGGACCAGGGAAGTCCTCCTTCCCCTGTACTCTGCACTGGTGAGGCCACATCTTGAATACAGTGTTCAGTGTTGGGCTCCTCACTACAAGAAGGACATTGAGGTGCTGGAACATGTCCAGAGAAGGGCAACAAAGCTGATGGGGGGTCTGGAGCCCAAGGCTGATGGGGAACAGCTGAGGGAGCTGGGGTTGTTCAGCCTGGAGAAGAGGAGGCTGAGGGGAGACCTTATCACCTTCTACAACTGCCTGACAGGAGGGCGTAGTGAGGTAGGTATCAGTCTCTTCTGCTGAGCAACAAGCAATAAGATGAGAGGAAATGGCCTCAAGTTGCACCAGGGGAGGTTTAGATTGGACATTAGGAAAAATTCCTTCATGGAAAGGGTTGTCAAGCACTGGAATGGGCTGCCCAGGAAAGTGATTGAGTCCCCATCCCTGGAGGTATTTAACTGACGGGTAGATGAGGAGTTTAGGGACATGGTTTAATGATGGGATGGCAGGGTTAGGTTAATGGTTGAACTTGATTGTCTTAAAGGTCTTTTCCAACCTTAATGATTCTAAGATTCTATGATTCTGTGAATTTCATTCCCCACATTGTGGACTTATTTTTCTGCAGCTGGGGAAGAAAACTCCTTCTTTCCACTGCTATCTGCCCTTCTGCCTACCATTCCAGGAAAGAATTTTGCTAGGTAGTTTGGAAATTTTTGTGCAAGAGGAATGTTGTGATTTTTGGGTCCCTTTCTTAAGTGCTAATGTGGCTGGTTTATTTTTCCTTAGTGCTCCAGCCCAAGCAGTCACACAGGCAGTTTAGATGCAGTACTTCCCTCAAGAAAGTCTCTTGTGACCTTCAGCTTCCTTCCTGGTTACCAAATCCACCTCCCCGCACCCCTACCCCTTATTTTCCTTAGGGTTGCAGCTCAGCACATCTTTATTTCACTTTTGCCCTTACCCTGGTATTTTAGATTCAGAGATCCAGCTACCCATTTCAAATTCATTTTCATCCTTCCATTCCCCACTTCTGGAAAACTATCCTTCTTGCACTACTCAGGGGGTTCCAGCAAAGTCTTATGCTATCCAGCCTTCCCAGAACTCTTGGTAGACTCTTGTGGATCTCATGCCACAAAGAGGATGGTGCAGGTACCACCAAAGACAGTGGTACTGCTGCCACCAGTTTCTTGGCCATGAAGAGGTTTTCTACAGGACTTCTGTTTTTCCCACCTCCAACATTCTTGAGGACCCAAAATAAATGGGTATAGTGCTGACAATACTTTCAGCAAGTGTCCTAAATGCATGTGATATTACAACAGGAGATGACGCTGACAGGATGGTCGTTTCAGCGCATAATTCTTGCGGCCAAGACTGTTGGGGCTGACTGGCAGAGGGCAAGACTGCATCGTTAGCCAGGCCCATTCAGCATCAGCCTTGCATTTGGACAGCTTGCCTGATCCTGCTCTTTCCTTGAGCAGCGGCCACCTTTGCAATACCATGCAAGGTGATTGCTTGGAGATTGAAGAACATCTGAAATGCATGCTTACTGCCTATACGCACACAGCCTGATTACAAAGTCAAAACTCTTAAGTGGGATTTAGGACTGAGAACTGTGAGATATAAAGTTGTGTGACTCCTTACTTTAAATCAAGAAAGCAATCATCTATCAAGGGTATCTATTTTCCCTGTTTTATCTTCCGAGAAGAAATGTATGGCTGATAAATTTATAGAAGTTAACATGAGCAGGTAATTTGAAAGGAAATATTCGCCACCCTCAAGAAATCCTTTCTGCTCAGATTTGGCTGGCCACCATATATCTTGCAGAAGGGCTAGTACCGATCATTTTATTTCTCCCTCCAGTCCTCCACAGCTATGTATCCTCAATTCCTCTCTTCAGGTTAACCACCGCTTTATTCTGAAGGGTGCACAATTGGCAAGAGGAGCTACATTTGATCAGTACAAGAACATGCAATCCACATATGTACTAAATGCTACAAGAGAGGAAGCAACATCTATCTTGTCAACTGGATTTAAGCATGACGGGAATCATGATGAATGTCCGAGCTGTGATGGCTGTTCATTCATTAATGTATCTCTCCTCGATGCTTACTGTGTTGCGTAAGTCCCTGTGACCATTACACTATGACTGATCTGCTGTAAAGAATGAAATGGGGCTTCCTCTCCTGTCAGCCTTAGTATTCCTGCATCTCAATCTTGTCCCTGGGTTTCTTTGGCCTCTGGGTCTCTGAGTGGCTGCACCAGCTGCACACTTGATAGATCTTCTTGTACTTACACTATCTTCATCTTCATTGGTGTCTACCATGAAGCAGATGTCCAGGTGGGATCAGATGAACCTTGGCCATTAAGAATGCAAAGACACCAGAGCGATGAGCTCAGCTTTAAAGACCTTCACTGTAGACTTCCAAAGTCTTGGTGCCGGGTAGGCCCACTCTCCCCCACAAGTACGGGGTGTGCACTTCTCACTTGGTCAGTCACATCTGAAAGGGTGGCCTCCTCTTTCTCCCTGAGGGAGATGTCCATCACACTCCTGAGAGGGACCTATAGGGAATGTGAATTTAATCTATACCTCTTGCTCAAGACAGCAGGAAAGAGGTGAAAACTTCTGTCACTTTGCTGAGAGACATGCTAGCTGTACTCATGTGGCCACCTAGTCTTAATAAAACCAGCTATTAACGCTCTAACTCTTGCGCAGTTCGTTTGTTTGTTTTAGTTTTTTTTTCTTTTTCCACTTCTTGTACAAATAAAAGTCTAAGTGCAATGCATCTCATTAGTGATCTTGTTTTATATTAGTTTAGGTAAAGCAGGAGAGGATGTTGTATAAAGCCCTTAATTGAGTAATAGGCTTAGTACTAGCATTATAGGAAAATAGAAAAAGAAATTCCCAGAAGGCTCAGTGCTTTGTGTTTAGCTCACTGCCTTACCTAGTTCCTTCTCCTGGTAATAGACTCCCAGTAAAGTAAAATAATGCTTAATAAAACTTACACTTGAAAAAGTAATTTGCTTGGGCTATTGATTTAATTAACTTGAGTCCATTTGTTTAAGCACTGTTTGTGCTTTAAATGCATAGCACAGAACCTACAGAAGAATGCTCCTCGCTGCAGCTCACTACTATCTACCTTGCTGCAGTGAGATAATGGTTGGAGAAGGAATTTCCCTTTGCATGTGCCCTGTTGAAAATCTAAGGGTGGAGGCCTAAAATAATCCATCAATGACCTTAGGCCCCAGTTCAAAAGTAGGCTGATGTCTGTCTACTGAGAGAGCTTTGCATGCTTGGTTTAATGGAACATGTAGTTCTAGGAGGCAGAGTTGGTGACTTTACATAAATGGGGATTTTGTCTGACATTGGCTGGCTTTCCTTGTCATTTCAACAAAAAAAAGGCCTTTCAAAGACCATGAAATCTTTCAGGCTTTGCAAAGCTGATGCCTATTCTACCAGCTTCCTCTCTTTTTTTGTTAAATTTACTCAGCTCTATTATTTTGTAGTGCCAGTATCACTTCATTAGTGATGAGTCATATCATTTATTAGATCTGACTGAGTAAGTATTCTGGAAAACCGTATGAGTGAAAGATCTTTGGGTGAGAGGTGGAAAGGTCCTTCTGTTTTGCCATATGTAAAGTAGAGTTGCTCTTTCCTACTTTGTTTTGAGAAAGAGTATTCAGCTGGAGGCAGCAGCAAGTAAAAGAAGGTAATTTCAGGAAACTTAACCCTTTAGTACAAGAGTATATAGACAGGTTGCCTTGGCTCTATGATTGCTAATAAGGGATGAGAAAATGTCAGCTACCTCATTTTCTCTGTGTCTGTCTTTAAGGCTGAGATATGGAGAGTATAACTCTCTGCAACGGCATTCTTTATTCCCGTCACTCACTCTGAACTGGGAGGCAGTAGTGTTCTGTAGGAGTGTCTCTAAAGACTATAGAACTGATGAAAAATAGTATTTCATAATATGGAATCATAGAATTGTTTAGGTTGGAAAACACCTTTAAGATCATTGAGTCCAACCATATCTGTCCACTACTAAACCATGTCTCTAAGCACCTCATGTACCCGCCTTTTAAATACCTCCAGGGATGGGGACTCAACCACTTCCCTGGGCAGCCCGTTCCAGTCCCTGATAACCCTTTCAGTGAAGAAATTTTTTGTAATATATGGTCTAGTTTAGTGCACCGTATTCCTCATTAAACTCAGAAGCGTGGTTTTGATTTTGTTCTTCTATCATGATAAAATTGTATATTTTGTCCTGATATTTCATTTCCCTCTTCAGCTGCAGAGTTGCCATTTTATAACATCAACTAATTGTTCATTAGAGTTGAAAAGGGGAGAGCAATTAGACACCTCCATGGAAATCCAGAAGTCACTTGGTGTCTGTGGTTGGGTCCATGTAGCTGAGTGGACAGGTTTATAGTGCAGCTAGTAACCTGTACTCCTTTGGACACCCAAAGGAGATATACGCCATCAGGCCAATGAAGTGCATCTAACTAAGCACTCTTTAGGTTTCGCCTAAGGGGGCCTCATCATGTAAGCTATTGATATTTCAGTTTGTTTGGAGAACTCTCAGCATCCCTGAGGTGCCTGATGCTTACAGACTGCTGGCCTGCATGGTCAGTGTGCTAATGCTCAGTTAGGTATGAACTGGTTAATGCCCAGTTAGTTGTAAGCAGATTCATGCTCTTAAAAAATGCTGATGTATTTACTGTCAGAGAAACGATTTCACAGTCAGCGAAGGTTTGGACAGGAAGAGCTGTTGGTATTATTCCTCTTCTTGAGTTAGATTCTCATGGATTTTGCAAGTGTTTTGATTAGTTTATGTAACTCCCATGATTCAATATCTCTACGCCTAAAGAGAACTCAGAGCAAGAAGACATTGCAATTTATTATATCTATTTCCTAACATGAAAGATATGTGAGAAATTTTTAAGATTGCAAATTCAGATGTAAAGAACTTAGGAAATTACAGCCATATCTCTCCCTCTTTGTGCATCATTTAGTGAGACATTGAAAAAAAAACTGTGAAGGTGCAATTAAAGGTTACACCATGATGTTTTCTGGGACAGACTGCTTGCTTTGTATGGAATTTCACAGGGCCTTCTCTTTAAAAAGCTGAGGTCATAAAGTTCACTGTGTAGCCACTGGCATGGCATCTGTTGGACCTCAAGACAAGATCTGTACCTTGGGAAATTGTTGCTTCCTCATGAGCATCACCCCTGGAGCTTTGAAATCTGCTCTACAAAGTGCAGGTACTGGGTTTTTCACAGCAACGTAGCAAAGATTATATATGAGCTCTAATGTAAGAGCTGTGCAAGATGCAGCATAACATCACAAATTCCATCAGCCATTCTACGTACTGCGAGCCGCTCTGCTCCTCACCAGTTCAGCTGTCAAAACACCATTTGCAATGGTACTGGCCAGTCTTGGTAGCATCTCTCTTGAACCCGTACAAGAGGGAAAACAAAAAGGGAGCTGGGGGACTGTTGGTACCACATTGACTGTGTGTAAATCTTTCTCAGTGCTGTTGAGAATGAGAATAAAGAAAAGGAACAGCTTTAAAAGAATTAAAAATTATTTTAATTAAATAATATCAAAGCAAGTAAGTGCTAGATTTGTTTTTGTTATTTATTAATTAAAAAAAAAAAAAGAGCTTATGGTCTAGCCAAGCAGGATTTTTACTGCCTTAATGAAAAGAATAATAAAATCCATAATGTGTCCCCTTCCTCCCCACCATCTCCTTGTTGAGCTGTCTAAGACACACTTGGCTAGCTGCTCCAGCATACTGATACTTCTAAATCCAGGCCATCCATCTTGTAATTGGTTGCAATCAGTGAGGTCAAGAAAGCTTTGCAGAATCAGCTTTTTTAGGCTCAACCCATGTAAAAAAACCTAAAAGCCCATACTTTTGAGCTGAAGAATTCAGCAAATTCTTCCTTTAATCACAATCAAGCCAGATTTCTATTAAAACTCACTCAGCACTTGACTGCACATGTTATAGGAATCACAGTAAACAACGAGGTGGTAGTTGTCTCCTTTCCTTTCCTTTTCCTATGACCCTTAAATCTGTACAATATCCATTGAGTGCAACTAAATACAATCACTGCATTTAATCTTAAAAAGTAATTACAACAAAGAAGTGTGAAATGAAAAGCAATCAGACAGAAATTATGAACTCCAGTCAGAGCACTTCTGTCTTTTGTTTTGGGAATATAAATTGGACTGATTGTATAACTTGGATGAGTATAAACACAGAAGTACTGGAAACCCAAGCCAGTTGCTGAGGAGAAAAAACAGACGCAATCTATAGATTTTCCACTGTGGTGGACACAAAGGAGCCAAAGTCGCAAAAGTCTTCTCTGACATTGAGTCAAGCTTGGACTATAGGGGATGAGCTAGCGCTGGAAAGGCTAGTCCATGGAAAGGCTCCATCACCATTCTTGCTCTCCAGGGGAGGCAGCAAGTGGCAGCCCTGCCATTTTTGGTTATTAATCTGTGATTGCTGAGTCAGAAATTATAACAGTGGGCATGCACTCTCAGCCAAGTGAACAGCAGCAATATCTGCTTTGGTTTGGCATGTTCCTCAGGTCAGATCTTAGCCATATTCTCCTTTGGATTCCCACCTTATCTGATCATCACTGAGGAGGTTTTGAAGCCATTAAACAATCTAATGCTTAATCCTTTCTGTGCCAGAGTTCCCAGACTACAAAACAGAAGAAGAAGGAAAAAAGAGGAAATAATTCCTGGTTTTGGGAACTCTTTGGGCAAGGTTTGCATGCTCTATATATGTACATCGCTCAGCCTAGTGGGAGCTTCATGCCTCTTGACTATTTTCATGTCACCAGGATCTGTATAATAAATGAACAGTTCATGGCCATGTTGGTTTTATGCTGTAGATCAGCCCATTCAACTCAAAAAATTAAATAATAATAACACAAGCCTCGGGTACATATACAGATAATAAAGCTCTTAACTAACATATCTGAGAGTGCTTTATGGAGGTGGGCAGGTACAGCGGTAACTAGTCTACAGACAAGGCAAACGTGTAATACTCAATGGTCTTTCTCTCATAAGAACAAAAATAGGGGTCCATTTGTCCTTATCTCCATTATTATTGGGCACTGGCTGGGATATAAACTGTTCAAGTGGAATTTTTTTTTATTTTATCAGCATTATCTACAGTCCCACAGTGGGGAGGCAGCCGGTAATCTTACATAGATGGTTTAAAACAAACCTACTCTGTGTCCTCTCAAGAACCTTAAAATGGAAGGAAGGATTGCTGTCACCTTTGGCAGATTTCACTCTGTTGGGGAATTCACTTCTGCGTGTGGCCTATATCCACCATTAGTCTTTGGCAGAATTAGGATCAATTCCATTTACTGCACCTCTTGGATGGACAGTTCAGGGAAGCACATGAATATCCAGGGAAAATATCTTTCTAAATGGCAGTTTTTTTCTGTATTTGAATCAGGATTGTGAAAATTCTCATCACCATGTTGTCCTTCTAGGCTGCTAATCTAATTAACATGAGCTCAGGAAGTTTGGCGGTTAATCCTGCATTTATCTTTTATTCGGGGTAGGGGTTAAAGTGTAGAGAGTTGTGCAGCAGCAGAAAAAAAAAGGACAACCTCATTGCCTTGTCCAGGCTGGTATAACTTGGGAGGACCCTGGGAGGGGTCAGCTGCTCCTTCCCAGCCAGCAGCAGAGCTCATCACTTAACTGGGGAAATCCCCCTTTGATGTGAGGATGTAGTGAGCAGAGACTGGGAGACATTCAATGGGGCTGTAGAAGAAGTGGTGACCAGAAAAATCTGAAGGCAGTCAGGGAGCAGACCCACATCCAAGCCCTCAAGAGGAAGGAAGGAAAGAGACATTTCCTACAGACCCTGAGGACTCCACCACATATGTAAGACCCAAGTTTCATCCACCTAAAAGTTACCTCCTGCTAATGTGTACTCTGACAAAGTGCAGAACTTGGGCTTCAAAGACCTCTGTGTGGTTTTGTTGGGGAAGATGGAGGTAGAGCCCCCTCAAAGCCTGATGCCTTCACAGTGCCATAGAGCCCAGAGAAGCTTGCTGTGGGAGTCAAGCCATACTGTCCAGCAGGGACTCAACCCTCAGCCTTCCCCAGCACTAACCTGAGAGCCTCCCTGGCCACCAGGTGGTGGAGAAGAGGAGTCCATCTTGTTATATGACAACACCATGTACCTGGGAATTGTTGGGAAACGACTCAGTGCAGTGAAATTTCTGACCACAAAGCTAGACCTACCCCTGTAGGATTGAGTAGAAAAGAGGGAAAACCTGAAAACTACCAGTGATGCTTTGCAGTTGATAATTTCCGTGGTTTACTATGAAGGATGACTCTGTACCTTTCATCTGGTAGTTTTGACACACCTCATAGCTTCAGTGCAAAGGGAGGAGGAAAGCAGGTGAAATACAGCGTTGAACGGAATGCTGCTCCACTGATTGCTCCTAAGGAGGATGTCTTGGCCATTGACTAGAGGACAGGTGCTGGGTTTGGTTAGGGTCTCCAAATACCCACCTCTTCAGCCTTGCAACATGACAACAACACAAATTAGTCTATGTTCCTCATTCTTCTCTCTTCTGGTAGCCCTCTTCTCTCCTTTCTTCCTTCAGTTTTCCTGCTCTCTGATCCTTTTCTCAAACTTTAATTCTCTCAGTGTTTTCCTCCCTGCACTGCCAGCACTGTTTCCTAATTTCTGCTTTCATGGCAACTCCCTCTTATCTTCTTTTGAGCCCAAATTACTTTTGTTTAGTACCACCCAGTGTTCTCTCACCAGCTCTATTCTTGCTCTTTACAACACAAACTGTTTTCCCAGGAGGCCTGGCTCATCCCAGCTCTTTGAATTCAATTAATTGATCTTCATCAGCCAGATTGCCGTTGGCAAAGAAACCCAGCACGCTGACTGTCTTTGTGCTTTAACTTCTGTTTTATCCTCATTTAATTTGTGCCCTTTGCAGCTTACTGAGCCCTAATTACCTCTGCTACCACTTCACCGTATTCAATTATAGCCTTCATCTCACTGACCTGACATCTCTGTCCTCATCAAATCTCACCTCTCTGACTTTGCCCATTAATTTTGTACAAAGTCAGTACCCTCCACGGGGACTTCAGTTCTTCCCATCTCTCAATTCATTTTCTTGACTACTCCCAAGCACGAAGGACATGCTTGCTTTGTGTTTCCCTGCTTTCAACTCTCCCAGCTATCGTGGGGTCCACCAGCATGGCACTCAAGCATGGACCAGTGGCACTCAAGCAGTGGCTTCAACCAGTGTACCTTGACTTGGCTTGAGGAAACTTGGTCTATATGTCAGGATTTTATAGTAAGGGTAAAAA